TCAAGGTCGCCATGAGGCGCCTATGACAGAACGTAGGGCCGCGGGGTGAGCGTTCGTGAGGACGCGCGCAGGCTGCGCCCGAGTGGGGAATAAAGACTTCCGTGTCCCTGTCCTCTGGTGTCGCCGCTGAGAGGCGACCGCCGTGCTGAAGCCACGGAAAACACCGGGACCCTGACGAGGGCGGGCGGGGAGGGAAGAAGTGCTTCTTCCCTCCTCTCCGGTTCCCTCACCGCGGGCGGCCTTGTACACCCTCAGTTCAGTGGGCTGTGCGTCAGGATTGAGGCTTTCTTGGATTTTGGCTGTCCACGTGTAAATTTACCGCTTTTTTAATCTGTTTTTTCCTGGAGTTTTTTTTTGCGGGGGGGGCGTTAATACTGTCGCAGAGGAAAAGCTGCGAGGTCATTGTAACTTTTGTTTCCCCCTTTCATAGGAAAGCAAACGTTTAAAAATAAAATGTGAAACCAATTTTGAACCCTGTCAGCAGCTTGAGGGTCTAAAAGAGTCACAGTGTGAACACCTTGATTGGTGTGTAGCTTCTGCAACGCTGTGTGACCTTGGGCGAGTCAATTAAGCTCTCGGGGCGTATATTTCACTTCCTCCTCATAAAGAAGGAGGGAGAATATTGTAATTAGTAGCAAGGGAAAGCTTGACACTGACCACCAAGGCTGCAAATGTTGATGGAATGAATTCCAGGTTTAGCAGGGAATGTCTATCCAGGTGAACTCCATGAAACGAATGAAGGCTCATTAGGAGAAGGGGTGAGGAATAAGCGACATGATGACTGAAATGCTGGAAAAATAATATTTTCATCATTGAAAACTTCTAGGGCTGACAATGCAGCTCTGTTGGCATATTGCTTACCTAGCATGCCTGATGGAGCATGTCTGTAATTCCAGCACTCAGAAAACAGGCAGGGGCCTCTTTGTGAACATGAGATCAGCCTACTGTGGGGAGCTCCAGGCCAGCCAGAACTACAAACAAGACCTAGAGGACATGTAACCATAAAGAGACTCAACACTCAGGAGGCAGAGGCAGGCAGACCTCTGTGAGTCTGAGTCCAGCCTGGTCTACAAAGCAAGTACCCTGACAGCCAGAACTACAAAGAGAAACCTTGTCTGGAAGAAGAGGAGGGGCAGGTGAGGGGATGGGAGGTTGGGGGGAGACTTGCTTTCTCTCTCAGACTTTATAGACTGCCTAAGATCCGGGATAGCTCCAACTGAAAACCTACACTTCCCAACTTCCCACCCAGTAAGGGGCCCTAGTCCTTCCTGCAGGCATTTTGACCATGGGGTGGAGGCAGACAGAGGTGGCCCTTACCATGAATGAGGATGGTCTTGCCCTCTGTTCTCTTTAGAGCTGTCCTTAACAATCCTGTCCTGGGATGACAAATCAAGGACAACCTGTGACACCTAGTGAAAGCCTATGAAAAGGACAAAAGGGGAGCTGGAGAGAAGGTAGTTAAGGTCACTGACTGCTCTTGCAGGGGACTGGGTTTTGATTCCCAGACTTCATATACAAACTAGAGTTTGAGAGGATCTCTAGCCCAGTGGTGGAGGCGCACACCTTTAATCCCAGCAATACACCCCTATTCCCGAGGCAGATCTCTGTAAGTTCAAAGCCAGCCTGGTCTACAGAGATAGTTCCAGGACAGCCTCCAAAGCCACAGAGAAATCCTGTCTCAAATAAATAAATAATAAGTATGCTGGATCTGTATATGCTATGGTTTAATCTACAGTACACTTTAAATACTTTTCTACTTTCAACTTTCAGGCAGAAGTATATTTTCTTGTTTTCATTTGTTTTTTTTTTTTTTTTGTTTTGTTTTTTTTTGGTTTTTCGAGACAAGGTTTCTCTGTGGCTTCAGAGGCTGTCCTGGAACTAGCTCTTGTAGATCAAGCTGGGCTTGAACTCACAGAGATCTACCTGCCTCTGCCTCCCGAGTGCTGGGATTAAAGGCGTGCGCCACCACTGCCCGGCCTGTTTTGTTTTTCAAAATAGGGTTTCTCTGTGTAGCTTTGGAGCCTTTCCTGGAACTCATTCTGTAGACCAGGCTGTCCTTGAAATCACATAGATCCACCTGCCTCTTCCTCCTAGAGCTGGCTTTAAAGGAATGCACCACCCTGCTCATGGGCCAGATGTTTTATGACCTGGAGGGAATACTTGTGTTTATATGGCTTAGCTGCTAGAGTAGCAATTCTTTAGAAATCAATGGACACAAGGAACCTTTTAAATTGTCTCTTGTCATTGGTTAATACTTCTTGCTAGCTTATAATCAAGAATTCCACCACAGTTAGCAACATTTGAAGGTTGCTGACATAGAAACAATATTCCTTTTACATACAATTTTCAAATGATGCTAAAATAGCAATGAACCATGCTTAAGGCCTAAGTATATTGGCCTTGAAGTGTGGCTGTATTACTTTCCCAGATATTTTCAGAGAATCTTACAAACTAGATTAAACATTTGTTAATAGTTAACAAAAATAAAGAAAAAAGGAGGAAGAAGCAGCAGAAGTAGTAGTAGTAGTAATATATTTGGCCAGGCGGTGGTGGCACACACCTTTAATCTCAGCTCTCGGGAGGCAGAGGCAGAGGCAGGTGGATCTCTGTGAGTTCGAGACCAGCCTGGTCTATAAGACCTAGTTCCAGGACAGCCTCCAAAGCCACAGAGAAAACCTGTCTCAAAAAACAAAACAAACAAACAAAATTATTTTATTTGTTTACATTGGTTTTTTGAGTCAGGGTTTCTCTGTGCAGCTCTGATTGCCCCGGGACTTGCTTTATAAACAAGACCAGGATAGCCTAGAACAGAGATTGTCTGCCTCTGCTTCCCCAAGTGCGAGGATTAAAGGAGTGTATCACCATGCCAGTCTCCAAAAAAGAAAAGGTCATTTTGCAACACTTTGAGATATAACTTCAAAAGCTACAAAACACTATAGCTACCTTAACTATCCTAAAAAGCTGCTCTCTCTCACCATTTTTTTTTTTTTAAAGCCAGGATCTCTATGTAGCTTAGAAGTCACTCTGTAGACCAGGCTGGCCTCCAACTCAGAGATCTACCTATCTCTGCTGTTATTGTTTTGTTTAAAAAGAAGAAAAGAGAAATTGCTGAGACAGACATATTGACTATAAGTTTATTATAAGGCCCGTCAGAATGGGGAGACTAAGAGGAGGAACAGGGGTAAATGGCTGACCGCCATGGCCGGTCGCCATAGAGAGACAGAGCGGGGAAACAGAGACAGGAGAGCACGCAGAGAGAGAGAGAGACAGGGGGAGAGAGAGAGAGAGAGAGTAAAGGGGCAGGAGCTTATCTTTTAAAGGGGTCCTCTGCACCTGCTTGCAGACTTCTTTCCCATGGAACCTCGGGCTGACCAGGGTATTGCCTGAGTGGATTCCACCAGGTAACAGGGGCAGGCCAGCATAATGCCTGAACCTTTCATCTGCCTCCCAAGTTCCAGGATTAAAGCTGTGGACCACCACTGCTGACTCATTCAAGGTCTTGTTTGTGATCTTTTTTTTTTTATGAACATGCTGCTGAGAATTTATCAATTTTAACACTTATTTTATGCATATGGATGTTTTGATTACATCTGTACACCATGTGTGTGCCTGGTACCATCAAGAGACCAAAAGAGAGAACATCCAATCCCTTCAGCTGGAGTTACATCTGTGAGGTTCCATGCGGGTGCTGGAAGGTATCCAGATCCTCTGGAAGAGGGGCCAGTGCCCTGAACTGCTGAACCGTCTCTCCAGAATACCCCCAAAGAGACTTTTTTCACGAGGTCAACATCCTTAGCCCTTAAGGAAATCCATTCTGGTGCTCACTTTAACCCCAGCAAGTAGGCAGATCTCTGTGTCTGTGAGTTTCAGGCCCAGGGGCTACATAGTAGAAAACCTGTCTTTAAATAAAATTTATTGTAACAGGAAAAATAAAAGACCCAGAAACTGATATTGGGGTTCAAACTCCAAGCTGAAGGAGAGAAAAGCAAAGCAGCTGGCACTAGCTTTCACCTCAAGTTCAGGCTGAAGGGGCTGGTCCACATATGAGCTCTTCACCAAGCCTCAAACTCTACCTCTCCCCATTGTGGCCAGAGAATCCTGAGACTTCAATGTCTTCCTATCCTCTTTGATACTGAGCCTTCCTGTCTTCAGTGTGACTGGAGAATCAATGACTGATACCGACTAGTGAAGACCCTGCTTATATCTTTTATAACCCTCTAGCCCTGGGTTTAAAGACATATGATCTGTTACTCTTTTAGACTGATTCAACCTTGTGTCCCTGGGTGGTCTTGAACTCTGAGAGATCCATCTACCTCTAATCCTGACTTGTACAACTAAAGGTGTGTACCACCACCTCCTAGCTTCTGGCTGTTGGGATTAAGTGTATGCCTGGTTTCTATGGCTTGAGGCTGACTTTGCTTCCTGAATCCTTAGGCAAGCTTTAATAAATCATAAATAATATATCATGACAATTTATTAGTCAGGTTTCTCTAGAGAATAGAAGTGATGGAATGAATGTATATGTATAGATTCATATATGTAGGTGGGATTTATTAGTTGTGTTCTGAGTAGCTCAACAATGGCTGTCTTCTTACAGAAAGATAAAGGACCTGCTAGTTGTTCATTCCAGGAGACTGGATGTCTCAGCTGTCACAATTTGCTGCTAAGGTCAAGAAGTCCCAGAGAGCTGCTGGGTTTAGTCTTCCTTGGAATCCTGAAGTAGTAGTTCTAATACCACTGAAGAAATACCTTAGGAATGGAATAGATGGGAAAAGTGAAAGCTTCCTTCTTCCAGGTCCTTTTATGTGCACTGCTATCAGGAGATGTGGCCCAGATTCAGGATGGATCCTCTACCTCAAATAATCCAACCAAGACAAGATCCTGACAGATGTGCCCAGCTACTTGGGTTTTAGTTAATTCCAGATGTAGATAATGGTGATGACTAGCCATCAGATGTGAAGAGTGATCAAAGGACACACCTGATGTTGGCCCCTAGACTCCCCATGCATGTGGACAATATCCATGTGCACACAGCCAGAAATATACCATACCTTCTCTCACACAAACCAGTCAGTAAATAAATAAATACAAAATAAAGAAAAAGGAAAAAAATTATTTAACCTAGCTGGACCTAAAAGTTCACACTTTAAACCCAGCACTTAGGAAGCAGAGAGAGGCCAATACCTGTGAATTCAAAACCAGCTTGATCTACACAGCAAGTTCTAACCCATCCAGGACTACATAGTGAGTCCCTCTCTCAAAAAAACAAAAGAAAACAAAAAAATGATTTAACCTTACAAGATGTTCTAGTTTATCCCTTACTGGGGATCTAACCCACAGCCTCAGGAAACCTATACAATAAACAAAGCAAAGGCTTGTTTTTTTAAGGACATTGTTCCCTAGGGGCAGGAAACATGCTTTGAGACAGATTACTAAGAGACAAATACATAAAGCATCATAGGAAAATTAAAGCTATAGGAATGTGAACTCTGAAAAAATCAGAGACTTACCCTTGTGCATGTGGTAGGAGGGCAAAAACTCAGATAAAGGAGTGTTTCCAAATAGCCAAGTGGGCTGTCATTCACCTGGCTCCGCTTCCCAAGTACTGGAATTACAGGCGTGTATAGTCACAGAAGGCTTACTTTCTCTCTCTCTCTCTCTCTCTCTCTCTCTCTCTCTCTCTCTCTCTCTCTCTCTCTCTCACTCTATTGTTTTTCAAGACAGGGTTTCTCTATGTAGCTTTGGCTGTCTTGGAACTCACTCTGTAAGCCAGGCTGACCTCAAACTCACAAGGATCTGCCTGCCGCTGCCTCCTGAGTGCTGGGATTAAAAAATATGCTCCACCACAGGCCTGCATCTTCTTTATTTTTTGAAATTATTTTACTTTTTTAATCATTGCGCTAAAGAGGCAGACGTTGTTGGATCTCTATGAGTTCAAGGCTGGTCTATATAGCAAACTCGAGGCTAGCCAATGTGATACAGTGAGGCCCAGTTTAAGGAGAAAAACTATTCTATTTATATGAATATTTTACCTGCATGCATGTCTGTGTACTAAGTGTGTGCTGGGTGCCCTCAGAGGCCTGGGGAGATCATTAGATCCCTTGGAACTGGGAGTTACAAATGGTCATAAGACATGTGAGTGCTAAGAGCCCGCAAATCATCAGGCCCATTACCAGTGCTCTTAACCACTGAGCCAATTGTGCAATCCCAGGTAAATACAAAATAGAATCTTTTTTTGAAGTTTTTTTAAAAAAGATTTTGTTTATTAATTATATATACAGTCTTCTGTCTTTGTACTACCAGAGGGTACCATATCTCATTCAAGGTGGTTGTGAGCCACCATGTGGTTGCTGGGAATTGAACTCAGGGCCTCTGGAAGAGCAGTCAGTGCTCTTAACCACTGAGCCATCTCTCTAGTCCAACAATCTTTAAAAAAAGAAAAGTTACTGGAAGGTGGTGGCTGACACCTTTAATCCCAGCACTTGGGAGGCAGAAGCAGGTGGATCTCTGTGAGATCGAGGCCAGCCTGGTCTACACAGCAAGTTCCAGGACATGCTCTAGCTACATGCTCCTGTCTTGGAAAAAAAAAAAGAAAAGAAAAAAGAAAAAGAAAAGTTAGCTGGGCAGTATTGGCACAGCACTTGGAAGGCAGAGGTAGTTGGTTCTGTAGGAAGAGGCCAGCCTGATCTACAGAGCTAGTTCCAAGATAGCCAGGGCTACACCAAGCAACCCTATCTTGAAAAAACAAAGTAAATAAGTAAGGAAGAAAAATCAAAAAAGAAAGAAAGAAAAGTTAGAAAGCTGGGTGTGGTGACCTATGCCATTAATCCTATGCAATTAGTAGGCAGAGGCAGGTATAGTTTGGGACCAGTCTGGTCTATATAGTGAGTTTCAAGACAACTAGAGCTGTATAATAGATCCTATCTAAAAAAAAAAAAAATGGGGGTGGGGGGTGAAGAGATATGTGCAGGCAAAACATCCAAACACATAAATATGAAAAGAAAGAAACTTTAAGAATGACCATCATAGCCAGGTGGTGGTGGTGGCACAGCCTTTAATCCCAGCACTCAGGAGGCAGAGGCAGGTGAGTCTCTGTGAGTTTGAGGCCAGCCTGGCCTACAGAGGGAGTTCTAGAACAGCCAGGGGTGTACAGAGAAACCCTGTCCCAAAAAAACAAACAACTAAAAAGAATGATTATCATTAGTGGAATTGTTTGTTGCAGCATTGTTAAACATCTGAAATAAAGTAAATGGCCCTTCTTTGCTTCCTTTTCTTTCTGTATATTTGTTTGTTCTGAGACTTGGTCTCTTTTACATAGGCCTGGCTATCCTGAAACTCACCATGTAGACCAGGCTGGCCCTGAACTTTCAGAGACTCACCTGCCTCTGCCTCTGCCTTCTGAGTGCTGAGATTAAAGATGCATGCTACTACACTCAGCTTTAAACCTTTTTTAAAAATATTTATTTTAAAAATAATTTATTTAACTTTATGTGTATTGGTGTCAGATCCTCTGGAACTGGAGTTATAAAATGCAATGTGGGTGTTGGGAATTGAACCCTGGTCCTCTGGAAGAGCAGCCAGTACTCTTAACCACTGAGCCATCTCTCCAGACCCTAATACTTACTTTTTAAAAAATATACTTAATTTGTATTTTATACATTTGGTTAGTTGGTTTGTTTATTCTATTGTTTCATGTGTTTTCTTTTTATGTGTATGGCCGTTTAGCCTGCATGTATGTCTGTACATCACAGACATGCCTGATATCTTCATAGGGCAAAACAGGACATTAGATTTCCAGGGGCTGGAATTACCGACAGTTTCGAATCTTCGAACCCAGGTCCTCTGGAAGAGCAGCCAGTGCTTTCAACCTCTGAACCATCTCTCTAGGCCCATGGTTTCTTATATTTTTATTTATTTATTTATTTATTTTTGAGACAATCAGGCCTGGAACTCACTATGTAGACCAGTCTGGCTTTGAACAGAGCTCTACTTGCCTGTCCCCCTAGTGCTGGGATTAGAGAGACCTGTAACAAAAACAGATGGATCTATGTGAGTTGGAGGCCAGCCTGGTCTACAGAATGAGTGCCAGAACAGACTCCAAAGCTACACAGAGAAATCCTGTCTTGAAAAAACAAAAACAAAAAATTGTATATAGAGAGAGACCTGTAACACTGCACTCTGCCTTAGGGGGCATACATAGTTTGTGCTCTTGAAGTAGTCTGCGTAGACTTACTCTTTTTAGTGACTAGGCCAAAAATGTTTTTTTCTTCCTTGTGCTCCCCTACTTAGAATATTGCCAAATGCTGGAAATATAATGACTGCACTTAGTTTTCCTCATCCTCACTTAGGGATTAGTTAAGGCCTGAAGAACTCAGAAACTATCCATCAAAGTCAGTCTGGAAGGACCTCAGGGTGGGGCCAAAACTCAGGTTGCCTGGGGCCAGGCCTTGTGGAGTTGAGGCTCTGGGAGCTCTAGTCTTTGTGGTTCTAGCTTCCTGAGTTCTCATGCGGTCTGACAGCAGAGCTCCCTTCTGGGTATGTTGTTGGGTGTTGGGCTGATATGATGAGTATGTATGTATGTATGTATGTATGTATGTATGTAGGTATGTATTTGAGACAGGGTTTCTCTGTATTACTTTGGAGGTTGTCCTGGAACTCACTTTGTAGATCAGGCTGGCCTGACTGCCTTCTGCGTGCTAGGAATTAAGTATGTGACTTACCCTTTGTAGAGTTATCTTAGATATGCTATCTCAAAATCAAGTAGGAAAACAAAAGATCATCTGGGGCTAGAGAGAGAGATCGTTTAGTAGTTAGGAACATTTGTTACTCTTCCACAGGGTCTCAGTTCAATTCTGAGGATCTACATGGGACTAATAGCCACTGGTGACCACAGCTCCAGGCAATGTGATGCCCTCTTCTGGTCTCCACTGGTACAGCATGCACACGGGGCACAAATATACATGTGGGTGAGACACCAATATATTAAATCAAAATAAATATTTTTTACAATTTTAAGAAGAATTTGCAATTTGTTTTTCTCCTATTATTAGTTGGGCAAGGATAATGATTATTAGTATATGAATGTGTGATTGCTGGTGCCAGGGCCTGTAAGCGGAGTTTCTCCCAAATAACCATTCAGAGACTTATTATTAATTATAAATGCTCAGTCAATAGCTCAGACTGGTTACTAGATTGCTTTTACATTTTAAATTAGCCTTCTTTTCTTCTTTGTTTCTTTCTTTCTTTTTTTTGGTTTTTAGAGATAGAATTTCTCTGTGTAACTGTCCTGGCTGTCCTTGAACTTGCTTTGTAGACAAGGCTGGCCTCAAACTCAGAGTCTCTGCCTCCCAATGCTGGGATTAAAGGCGTGTGACACCACTGCCGGGTCCCTAATATATTTTTTAAAAATGCCTTGGTTTATAACTTTCTTTGTTCTGTTGCTATGAAACACCATGAAACTACTTCCATGAAGTAGTTAATTTAAATCTGTGTTTTGCCCAGGGCATAATCACTCACACTTTGGTTCCAAAAATTCTCTCTTACTTCCTTTGACTTGAGAGCTGTTTTTGTGTGGACAATCTCAGTACTCCAGGGGCAAGATATGTGAATTACTGTGAGTTCAAGGTTAACCTTTTCTATGTACTGAGTTCCAGATTAGCCAGGGATACACACTGAGACTGTTTTTAAACAAACATGAAAGGAAAATAGAACGACACACAGTGTGGGTAGATAAGCAAAGGCACAGGACACAGAAGGGTAATTGATAGGTTCAGTAGCATAGAGAAGTGATGTGATTAGACTTATAATTTATGAAGCACAAGTTTGGGCCGGGAGTTGGTGGCACACACCTTTAATCCCAGCACTCGGGAGGCAGAGGCAGGCGGATCGCTGTGAGTTCGAGGCCAGCCTGGTCTCCAGAGTAAGTGCCAGGACAGGCTCCAAAGCTACACAGATCAACCCTGTCTCGAAAAATCAAAAAATAAATAAATAAATAAATAAATAAAAAATAAAAAAATAAATAAATAAATAAAAAATAAAAAAATAAAAAGAAGCACAAGTTTGGTTGCTTCCAGTGTCAAGTCATGACTGCCCCTGGAAACAGCAATTTTAACACTTCTGGTTGGCACTTGCTGAGTCCCCCTGTGAAAACCTCTCTTTTGTTGTGGCTGCATCTTTGACCTTGGTCCCTAGAGACAAAATACAGCCCCCCCCCCCCCCCCCCCCCCCCCCCCCCCCCCCCCACACACACTCCTTGGGATGAGAGCAAAGACAGAGGTAAGAAGGCGCAGTCGAGGACTTGGAAGAGGCGGAGCACAGAGGGCAGACTGGATGTGTGAGAATGAGAAAGCCTGGTGACAATCGAGCTTGCAGACTTAGCTCTTCTTCTGGAGAGGGGAACTAGGCGTTTGAAAAGCCCTCGCGCGTGAAGGACGGATTGCAAGAGGAAAGTAACGAGCTGTAAAGACCACGGTCTTCGTGGAGACCAGTGACAGAAGGCTGGAGGAAAGTGGGTGACTTCCAGAGGCATTAAGTTAGGAGGCGAATTAGGACGGCAGATGGGCAGCATCCCGGCCCCGGTTTCTAGTGACCTCAGCGGTCACGGGTGAGTGCGGACTCGGTGTTCCCGCGTCAGGGAGGTGGGCGTGGCCTGCTCGCGCTGTCGTCCCGGTGACCGGACGGGGCGGGGCCCGGGGCGGGGCCGCCCGGCCGCTGCGTCACTCGATGGTGGCGATGGTGCGTGTGTGTAGGGGGCGGGGGATACGCTGGGCGCGTCCCCGGGGTCACGTGGTGCGCAGCGCGCACAGTCCTTCTGTCGGTTGGTCCTGGAGC